TCCTCCTAGCCCAACTAATTCAAAATATTGGGAATGCAAGGTGAAGCATTTAGTTAGCAGCATTCACATTTGAGCCCTGGCTTGGAAACCTGATACCTTTGTCTCTCTACTGACCCATGGAAATCCACACCTTAATTTCTTATCCAAATGAAATATGTACCTCACTGCAACAGTTCTACCCCACTAGGATCTGGATGGCCTCAGCTTTTTTTACTTCTTTGTTTTTTCATTAAATGGGGCTGGCTTTCTGCTTGGGGTACTAATGGGATCCAGATTTTAAGGGAGGAGGGAACACATTCAAAATGTGAACTTGATGTAAGGACACAGTATTTGTATAATTTTGGTATTCAATAAAGAACTGTTGACCTTGTACTATGTATTCAATTTGTTTTTATTATATAGAATAAACTCCTTTACCCGACTTGGACGTGATGGTTTTATATGCGCCTATATGCTCATTTATGTGTGAAAACATATTCCTTTCTATTGAGAGACCTGCTATAAGTAATCCTTGTTTAGCAACCATAATGGGACCAGCAACTCAATTTTTAAGCAAAATGGTCGTTTGTGAAATCACAGTTCTGCTTATGATCTTTCAGTTTTCCTTTGCTTCACAGACCTGAAAATATCATGAATGCAAAGATTGGTTGCTTTTTCATCACAATCATAGCTGTGAATGATTGTTAAATGAGGCAGTCACTAAATGAGGAATATCTGTATAGAAATGTTTAAAAAAGAAGGGGAGACTCAGATTCAGTTGTATCTTCTCGATTTCGTGTTCTTTACATATTCCGCATCACTGTCCAGTTGAGCACAGGTCTCATTTCTTATAGTCTTGGTGAAATATTTAAGAACTGTTTCACCTGCACCCCACTATACTGTTCCTTTGCATATATAATTTAGTCAGATGGTGCCTAATTTTAATAAATATATAAAATCTTACTGATACTTTCCTTTTGATTTGTTGTGATTAACAACAAAGCCATCCTTGGCGCCATTAATTATTTAATTTGGTAAGTCTCCTTTTGTTAGTTGTGACATCACTCAGGGCATTTTGTTGTCACTAGGATTGTTGCTATTTTAGAGAACAGAGAGAAAGGAGTCCTGAGACCAAATACTTTTCCCAGAAATTATTTCTTGATTCTATCTTTGTAGCCGTATTTTTGTCCTACTTTACCTGATGTTCTTGCTTGGAGATTTGCTGCATTGGCATATGATTTTTAAGCTAAAATTTCAATCCTAATGTGAGGCCCCTAGACAGGTTCCACCCAGCTCTCCTGAAAGATTTATCTTCATCTTCCCTACAATATACAACATCCAATTCCTGAGAAAGTCTGGAATCATTCTACTAGATCTGTGGACAGTTATGTGCCCACCTCTTTTCATTCCTGACTCTTTTTCTTGCTGATCAGGGGTCCCCAATCTCCAGGCTGCGCAAATGAGAACTGGGCCACTTAAGTGGCAGGTGAGCGAGAGAAGCTTCATCTGCACATGCATGGAATCTAGATTACAAGGGAATATAATCCTTCCATTCTCCCCTCCCCTCCCCCACCATCCAGTCAGAACTGAAGAAGCTTCTTGGATGAGAAGCGAAACGTCTCCCTCAACGAAAAAACAATCCAGTTACTTTTTTGAAAAAGCACCTTTGAAACGCTGATGTTCATTGATGATGATGATGAGATTGCATGATACATAGCACCAACTTCTAGCATCATTTTTATGTGCAGATGGATTTCAAGAAGCATTGTTCAAAAAAAAAATTGTTTGGAAGCATGTCCACTTGGCTAGAAACAACGAGAAAGGAAACGTAGTGATACCAGAAGTCTTGGTTCTGAAGCTTCTACAAAGAGTGGGGAAGCATTCTCATTTTGCAACTGCCAATATTCTATTATATGAGGGTGTGCCGGTTAATAAATCAGGACAATTAATAAATAAATGAGGTTTCTTCTTTCATAACCTTGCAATCAACCATTTAATCAACCATGCATGTACTCTTCCTTTCCGTGCATTTTATCTCCCTCAACCACAAAATAAGCTCCCCTACGATCATTAGACATTGAGAAGTGGAGTTCAGGCAGTGTCTGCCCCTGAGAGCAGTCTTCTCTTAAATTCAAATAAATATTGAGAAATCATAGGAATATATTTCACAAAATATATGTTTATACTTTTCTGGACAGTTTTATGACCTCACCCACTCCCCATCCCCCAAAGTATGAGGAACTGAATGTGATTTCATAATTCTTTTGCTAAGGTTACTATGCGGTCACATTGGTCTAGTGGTGAAGACATCTGGCTAAAAACTAGGAGACTGAGTTCTAGTTCTGCTTTAGACATGAAGGTTAGCTGGGTGACTTTGGGCCAGTTTCATGCAACCTACCTCACAGGATTGTTGTTGTGGGGAAAATAAGAAGGAGTACTGGGTATGTTTGCCACCTTCAGAGATTTATAAAAATAGTAAGGGTGGGATATAAATAAATAATATATATTAAAATAGTTTTGTAAGAAAACAATCTTTTATCTTATTTTTTTTTAAATGGAAAATACAATACAACAAAAACACAAATTAAGAAGAAAAGGGAGAAAAATCTGTCTTACATGTTATACTTAGCAATAGTTACTGGTTTACCAGTGAATTCTCTACTATAATATGAACAAGATATTATTATAAGATATCACAGAATATCTGCTATAAACAACTGCTGCATGCTTTTGATGGGTAGAAAATATTACCTTTCCCAAAACACATAGATCATACATTTCCGGCAAAATACTTGGACATAAGCATTCTGTTCTATACAGTATCAGTATTTCTTAAATGGAAAATAATAAGCAAAGCTTAAGAACTGGAAAATACCTTTGATTTCTTTATAGCCATTAGTCATCAAATACTGGATTGCACACGCTGTCATATAGTTCCCTATGGGTCAGCTTTTTTGTAATACATCTTCCTGGGCATTCCCCCATCTCCTTTTCAATTTTTATATTATGACTCCAGCATTGGAGTGAGAGGCAATGTATCCAATCAAAAAGACCGGAGGGTGAAGCAATTACAGAAATGCCAATCTTTCTCCCCCCACCCTGATGCAATCACATGATTGTGACATCAGCCACTTGGGATTCTGGTGTTGGCCTGAGACTTTACAGCTAGTGCTCGACTTACAACAGTTCATTTAGTGACCGTTCAAAGACACAACAGCAATGCAAAAAAAAAAAAAACCACCTTAGGACCATTTTTCACACTTCTGACTGTTGCAGCGATCAAAATTCAGGCGCTTGGCAATGACTCATGCTTATGACCCCAGGGTCACGCGATCCCCTTTTTGCAACCATCTGACAAAGCCAAGTCAACGGGAAAGCCAGATTCACATAACAACAGTGTTACTCATTTAACAACTGCAGTGATTCCCTTAACATCTGTGGCAAGAAAGGTCGCAAAAAGGGGCAAAACTCACTTAACAAATGTTTCACTTAGCAACAGAAATTTTGGACTCAATTGTCATTGTAAGTCTAGGACTGCCTGTATTAAGGTGCTTTTTTTAAAAAAGCAAGCCATCATGATCAAACCAATCAGGACTATTGAAAGTCTGAATGCTTCCACTCTCCCTATGTTTCCCCTTGACAGAAATTTGGTATAATTGACATGCCAGAGAATTGCATTGGGCAACACACTGCTGATCTTTCCAATAACCTACCCTCCCCCACTACAGAAGGCTGGGAGCGTTGCAACTCAGCGGTTATAGCATTGACAAGAGGAAGGCAGCCAGGTGTTTTCCATATGTTGTGGAGTACAGCTCCAACCAATCCCTTCACTAAGGATTATTGAGAATGGAAGTTAAATTTGGAAAGCATCACAGCCTATTCTTGATTGATATCCCCTGTACTTGAAATTATATTGGAAGACCTCTTATTCTTTCATCTTGGACTTAAGCCAGACCCTTAGTTTGAAATGCTGTGCTTTGCTCACTGGCTGCCTTGTAATCCCATCACCAGTCAGGACGTTTGTTATTCGGTCTGAATGAGGAGGATGCAGAATGCTTGCTTGTAACATTGTTTTTGAGAAATTGTCTGCACAATCCTACAAGCCATCATCCTGTGTGGCTGATATCTGGGCTTGAGGAACAGAATTTCAATGGTTATATTTATTTCATTGTGAAAGAAATGACTCTGAAAATCCTCTTCTTGAGCTTCAAGCTTAAGTGATGTAAGGCTCTTTATGTGATTGGTTGTTCACTTTCTTTATTTGCTTTTCCTTTTCCATCTTGCTAAGGGCTACCAGATCTTGTCTACAAATATCCAGATAACTATTAGATGTCAGCAAAGATCTAAAACAGAACTTTCCCTCTGCTGCCTCCTGCGAGATGTGCAAATATTTGCAATCTAGACCAAGGATCCCCAACCCCCGGTCTATGGACTGGCACTGGTCCACAGCATACCAGAAACCAGGCCACGCAAACAAGCAAAGCCCCATCCACCAGATAGGCAGCACACAAAACCATGCTTCCTCCAGTCTACAGAAAAACCTCTCTAACTGGTCCCTGGTGTCCAAAAGGTTGGGGGCTGCTAATCTAGACCAGAGTGTTTTTTCACCTATTCCAAGGTTGCCAATATGGATCAGCAGCAGTTCTGCAAACTTTGAAATCAAACTTACAGTTTTATTTGGAGGTGGCAGTATTGTAGAACCTCCTGAAAGCAAATTCTTTACCCTATTAAATTCTAATCAGAAAAAAAATCGCAGCATGTATATTCCATTTATGGGACAAAAATACTTTTTGCACTCAAAAACTATAGAATTGGTGGACCAAATGCTTTTGTTTCTTAGAGGGATGGGCATTTTCAGACTCCTTCACCCACCTAATCTGCTCTGGTTTCTCTTTGTACTTCAGTTTCTCTCAGGGCAGCTTCAGGGTTGCCAGGCCTTTGAAGCAAGATAGAGAACTCATCTATCTCTGGATGAGCCTGGTGGTTTGTTAGCTTCCTGTTCAAAGAAGCCTTTACAATACGGAAGTTTGCTTCGTGAGAGCCTTTACAACCTGACAGGGCTGAGATGAGCAGAAGAACCAAACCTGGAGGCCGAGGACAGCAGGAAAATGTATCTTCTTGCCTCCTTGAGGAACTTGAAAACCAGCAAGTGTTCAATCTTTTGGGCAGGAAATGCACGGTAATTCTTGTTATTATTCAAGGAAGGAAAGTCCACGGCAGAATGTAGAGTATGCCAGGAATGGGAGAGAGAGAGGAGCTTGTCTCTGGGAAACTGTGTGATTATATGTTGGAATTTCATTGATGAATTAGGATGAAAAATAACTTGGAAGGAAGAGAGCCTACAGCTGAGCCAGTGTCTGATTTTCAGCATGATCTTCCCCCTAGAAAGTTGCTCAATGGATAAATGAGAACGTGCTAGAAAATTAGCAGGATTAGTAGCATCATTAATAATTCGAAGTTGAGAAATATAGAAGAGATTGGATTGGATTGGCTTAGTGTAGAGAGAGATTTGCCTTTTGGCCCCCATGGCATTTACAGAATTCCAGTAAGTACCGTATGTCTCCTAAGAGTCAATTCCTGCTCATTACATATTTTAGTGTATTAATCAGTCTGAACATTTGTTTTATGGTCTTGCAGTCAGTGGAAATAACAATTGACTTGATCGAATTAGCTGACAACACTTTTGATATAGACTGTGGAACCATTGGGAAATTTTCTTTTTGCTTTTTAAATCTCCCCCAACTTCTATGCAGAAGCAAGTGGATTTTTTTTTTAATGCTGAAAACAACAGCTTGATGTGTTAAGAGACACATGCAGTCTCAAGGCAGGAAGTGGGGAGAAAAAAACACTTCCTCAAAAGGCCTAACAAAAAGCTCTGGCTAGTTAATGACACACTGCCAGTTCTCAGGTGGGGGGTGAAGTCATAACCCCCCGCCCTGCCCCACCCCGTATCTTGCTGAAAAGAAGCCTAGTTCAAAACAATAGGCCAGACAACAGAAGAGGAAATATCCTTGATCTTGGATGAAGTTGTCAAATAATATTTCCTTTACTTTGAATTATTTAGGTACTCTATCAGGCCTCATGACTGCATGACAATATCAGTTTAATTGCTGTAAGGTCCTTGTAATGTATTTTGGGAACTGTAGTTTTGTGGGTATGCTGAGAATTCTCATTTGCCTATTCTGCCAGCTTCATAATTGATCTACCCGAATCGGGTATCAAAACATTAAACAACATTAAGGAATAAATAAACAGCATTATACACACGCACACACACACACATAATCAGGATTAAAAACCATAGCCAGGAATAAGAACAGTTCAGCTCACATTTTAAATCAAAGCAAAATCTTTCTATTAGCTTAGTTTCTGATTCAAAGCATTGCTTCTTTTAACTTCCAAAATATTCTGAAATATTGTTTGATTCCAAAATATATAAAAAAGTACAACTTGGATCCTAAAAGAATGTGTAGAGTTACTTTCTGTCTAAAGTGCTCTGAAAGATGCCTGGTTTAGTTCAGTCTGGCTTATTTCCAGGTATATAAGCTTGCTGCTTAATCCTCATACAGGCGCTTTTGAAGAATGAGGGTGTCTCCAAACATTGCAAAACGGAAAGAATGGGAATTGGGCACTGGAAGAAAAAAGCATTCCTCCAAAACAATATTTCGGATGATTCCACTCACCTCCAGAAACTATTTTTACCATATTCATTCATTCATTCATTCTGTACCCTGCTGTAAGCAAAAAAGGCTCTTAGTGTGTGATGAATTGGATTTTGTATCCAAGTCAACCAGTGCCTCTTATTTTGCCATTGATGTAGAACAATTTTTCTCATCCTTGGCAATTTTAAGATGCGTCAATTTCAACGTCCATCATTCCACATTCAGCATACTGGCTAGGGAATTCTGGGAGTTCAACTAGACATATCTTAAAGTTGCCAAGGTTAGGAAATATTAGTACAGAGCAATTGTTTTCTGAACTTTTCTAGACTTCCCTGTGCATTATTCCCTTATAATGTATATTGCTGTAGATTTTACAGTTTCTGTGATGTGAAATTCATCACATTTGTGACTGGATAATGCTTTCCCATTTTCCCCATTCCCAGTTATATCTGCTTGAAAAGACCAATTCCACAGGTGTATGTCATCTTTGATCGAACTGGATGATTAATTTGTAACTTTCCCTCTTCTGATAGACCATGGTCACAACAGTGGCCCAACTCTTTCTGGCTTTGCCTCAGAGCAGCAGAAACTGGTCCAAGCAAAGTTCTGGAGTGCTGTGTTTCGTAAAGGATGTCCCTAAACGTTCTTACTTCATCCGCTTGTATGATCTTAAGGTATCAACTGTTTTACTCCATTGTGATACTTCCCTGCATTTCCTTCTGACCATAGGTACATATCTATTGTTCATTCATTGAAATGATGTTACCCAACATCTATTTTCTGGGTATTTTATTACTAGAATTCTCAACCAGCATATTCTTGTTCAGACAGGAGAAAACTAAAAGCCATGCTTTAATTTGCATTGTTTTCTTGCTATTTTCTGCTAGTACTCAGATTTACACTGAATTAAGTAATAGGGTTTATTAGAAAGTGATTGAAACAATCTGATGTTTCTAAGTCAATCAACCGAATGCACTTTCCTCTGCCAATCTGCGCAGGAAGCAAAAACAACTTCTTGACAAGCCATCGTACTTGGCTGGTGCATTTTATTCAGCTTATCATTTGACAAATTGTTCTGGGAATGCCCAATTAAAAGAGAACACCTGGTTGAATAACTAATTGTATGTGCTAATGAATGTATATAGGAATGCAGTTAGAAATAATTAGTACAATACAATGCAATGCAATGCAATGCAATGCAATGCAATACAATACAATGCAATACAATACAATATAATACAATGCATCTCTCTATAATAGGGAAGACTGAGATAATCTAATCTATGTCCCTGATGTCTACTATGCCTTCTGGACAATTATTGTCTATGGGGCAAAAATAAAACAACTGCTCCCAATTCTTTTGACTCATTCTCTTAAGAGAGTTGAACCAAACATCTTTTCAAATACATCTTGATCTAGTCCTGTGTCTGGTTTAAGCACACAGTACTACTCTCATATTATCAAATCTTCTGTAAACGTATGAAGAACAGCTGCAGGACTTGGGTTTGGCTAGTCTAAAGAAAAGAAGAAATAGAGGTGACATGATAGTAATATTCCAGTATTTGAGGGGCTGCCACAAAAAAGAGAGGGTCAAATTATTCTCCAAAGCACCAGAAGGCAGGAAAATAAATAATGGTTGGAAACTGATCAAAGAGAGAAGCAACCTGGAATTAAGGAGAAACTTCCTAACAGTGAGGACAATTAACCAGTGGAACACCTTGCCCTCAAAAATCATGGGTGCTCCATCACTGGAGATTTTTAAGAGACTAGACAGTCCCTTGTCTGAAATGGTATAGGTTCTCCTGCTTGAGCAGGAGGTTGGACTAGAAGACCTCCATGGTCCCTTCCAGCTCTATTCTATTCTAGATTCAATAAGATCATATCACCGAAATTTTGCAAACCTCAAAGTCTTGTCTGAGAATGTTGAAACCTCATGAATTACAAAGCAATTTTAAATGTTAATTATGAGCATCTCTTTTGTGGAGAAAGCCTGTGAATAATGTAACATCCACAAGTACCATGCATCTGGCTTACTGTTCATAGATCAGATGTATTAATTTGTATATCAAAATATGTATTTGGGCAAGGAGGTCTGATTCATCCCCATTTCTACATAGTGTTGAAATTGAAAGCATCAAGCACCATTCCCAATAGCATCATTCAGACATCAGAGCTGAGCTGCAAGAACCATTCTTCCAGATGCAGGTCACTAAATGGGGAGACAAAGAAACTGAGTTCTCCTTATCTATTATTTTTTCCCCTCTAAACATCTGAAGGCCAAATAGAATTACTCTCCTTAGGTCTTATTTCACATTCAGAAGTACGGAAATACAGAAACATCATTGTTTGCTTGCAAATTATGCCTGCTTTCATTAACTTCTTACATAAATACATCCAGATTTAAAATATTTGTACTCAGCAGTGGTTATACATAAATGGGAAGTCACCAGGGAATTCCAGAACTGTAGCCTACACGCGATGGGGGGGGGGGAATCCTAGTGAAAAGACATGACAAACCACTTCCATTCTATTGCTAAAAAAACTTAAAGGTTGAATCCATTTTGGGTGTGACCTGGAGTTTAGACTGACGCAAAGGATACTTCAACTTTTTGATATTGTCTTAAGTGGGGAGAAACAGTCTGTGACTTAATAAGCATCTTTGCCTATTATTTTGTTTTGATGCAGCAGCAGAAGATGACCTGGGAGCAAGAGTTGTACAACCAGATGGCTTATTTTGCTCCCACAACCTTTTTCCACACTTTTTTAGGAGATGTGAGTACTTGATTATGGATGGGTGAATCACTATGGATATATGTGGTCAGGCTGACATAGGACCCTGCGGAAGAGAAAAATCTAGACGAGAAGCATCCATGCTTTTAGAAAACGAAGTCTGTCTTTGCAGTCCCAAAGGCAATACTTTAAAAAGATGTTATCTGTGTAGGGTATTTTGTTAAAACTTTATAGATTGGCTAAAACAGCACAAAGAAAAGAAGACAAAAAGAAAGCAATGAACTACAGCAGCAATAATTAAACATAAGGGTTTTTTCTTCCTCTAGGAAGAATGCTTGTGTGAATGAAATATTAGTGAATAGTTTCAATAAAAGCTTACCACATTTCATTGTAATTGTCCAGACATAATCTACATCTAGGAGCAATTCACTTATAATGTCAGGTCTTCAATCCACTGAATAATCCAGGGCCATGAATTTATCTTTCCAATGTTGAAAGACTAGCTTCTTAGTAAAAAGAAGATAGATCTATACAGCTGTTTTAAAATTAAATCTTTTTAATGCTTGCTTTAAACGGAAAGTTTCCCCCCCCCCATACTTGTTTAAAAATGTATATCTAAATCCCTATTTAGAAATGTCTCAGGGAGGATTTGTAGAATTGTGATTGAGTTCGATGCCTTATCACACAGATATTGTGTTGCATATGCTTGCAGGAGTGCAGTGTGGGACTAAACTTTGCTGATGAACAAGAGGCACAATCTTTTCAACAAATGGTGGAAGAGAAGATTCAGAAGAGGAACCAGAGGGGTAGGTGGAAGGTCCCTACCAGGAGATGTAGCTCCAGGGGATGCTTTTTGTCTGAATCCCATTTCTTCAGGCAATATTTGTCCCGTTCGAAAGATTACTTCGGTGAAAGACCCAGTCACACCTTAAAAATTAATGAAAGTGAGGAGTTGTGTTTCTGGAGAAATATTACTCTGGGTATGGGTCTTTTGAGAACCTAGAATTTACAGAAGGGAAATTGATCATTAAATATTACTCCCTTAAAAAAAAAGTGAAAGCTTAGCTGCTTTTAGTCCTGCAACATTCCAAATGCATTTTTTAAAAAGGGGAAATGGGAAGAAATTACAGTAAAGAAAATGCTTCCCTTTATTGGGAATGCAAATGAAATGCAGGCTGTTCAGAGCCCCAAACTGCTTTCTGCAGAATAATTCTGAAATGTAGGCTAATATCTCTACAGAAATATACTTGTTTTGCCTCCAGAAAAATACACACTTGGATTCTTTACCTCACATGGTTGTTTCGTAATGTTAGGATTCATACCGTATTTAATCCTAAAGTGATTTTCTCTTAACCTTCAGATCATCCAAATCATTCAGATTAGGAAGGAAGAAAACACTCCTCATCTGCCTCCATTGTTGATATTCTTGGCAAATTTAAGATCATTGTCCTCTTTCACTGATTACCTTATTTAGGGGTGGAGGGGGTGGGATGAGGGAGTAGAGCCTGGCTTCCAACCTGGGAAAAAATTATTGGAGCTCCTACTAATCAGATGATGCTGTTGGGAACTTTTCACCCCACAAGTCTCAGGTTCCTCTAGCTGTGATGGCAATTGCCTGAAATGCTTGAAATGCATAGTCTAATTGCTGTGGATATCACTGAGCTAGATGGTGTGAAGACCTCACTCGGTCTAAAGATGTTTCCAACTTTCCAGGACTGGGAAACATATCACTGAAAACATATTTATATTCAGTGGTTGGATTCAGTCAGTTCGCACCAGTTCGGCAGAACCAGTAGCTGATTTTTTGTTGCTTAGGCCCAGAATGGACTTCCAGAAGTGGCATCCACACAGAGAACCGGTTGTTCACATATTTGAATCCCACCACTGTTTATATTGTCTCAGAATTCCTATGTAATGTTCAGGCTCTTAGGCAGGTTTCAGCAAGGATCTTGATAATAACTTGTGACAAAATTCTCCTGGTTTTCTTCAAGGAAATCCAACTGTGCCCAAACTAAATGGAACAAACCCTGTACTACTGTATTCAGATAGCCAAATCATTCTTGAAAGTTGAGAGAAAGAGCATGAAACATTTTACTGTTAATGTTCTATATTTTCTTTTCTGCTTTACAGATAACAGACAATTGCCACCGCCACCCCCTCCAGTGAACGGCGGTATGTATCCCCTGTATTTTTCTCACAATCTGTTCATTATTTGTTTTTTGCAATCAAGCTCCTTCCTGATGTGTATCAGTTACAAATGCTGAGCGTGGAATAGCCATTAATGTCAGTAGGATGGCTGGACAGACTTTCTGATAATAACAGTTTAGCTGTAAGTTGTACTTACTCTGCGTTTGCTCTCATTGGCAGAGAGAGTGGAAAATTATTGCTGTAAAGACAGTGGAATCCTAGAAAGATTGATTTGGAGCACACGGACAGCATTGCTGGTTATGAGAAGTTCTCAGCCAGTCCAGTTTTAGAAAAGACCATTTCAATTCAAATCATTGGCTGGGAACATTTGACACTGAACTATTTACTGACCATCAGTCTTTTTGCTTTTATTAGATAGAAAAGCAACTTTCTCACGGCCCCCACTTTCTGGAGTTGATATGAATGGTAAGCATTCTGGTAAAAGTTGGGTTGCAGACTTCTGAGGGCACATATGCTTTTTATCTTAGAGTTTATATCTACAGAGCACAAAAACATGAAACAGCTTTCTTTAAATTGTTCTTAAAATGTGTTGGGATTATGAATTTAGCATAGCTGGAAGAAAAATTGATGTAGATATGTAACAAACTCCAACTATACACTAGGAAAAACAGTCATTTAAAATATTTCTAGTAAAAGAGCTTTTTAGCACTTTGTTTGAAAATATCCAAAGAGATACAACAGGCATGGCAACCCAAGAATCTCCAGATATTATTGGAGTTCCAGCACCCTTAGGAAGAACGATGATGAGTGAAGGAGCTGAGGGTTCAGCATGTTCTGAATGCTAATGGTTACAAAAATGTGTGAGATACATTTTTCCCTTAAAACTGTTTCCCCATAAGAGCTCCTAGATTTGCTTAAATTCCACAACCAATAACATAGGTTGAGGAGGGAGGGAGGGAGGGAAGGAAGGAAGGAAGGAAGGAAGGAAGGAAGGAAGGAAGGAAGGAAGGAAGGAAGGAAGGAAGGAAGGAAGGAAGGAAAGATTTTAGTGAGTTGTCAGATGTTGTGATGGTAGTTGCAAGAAAGCTAATTGTTCTCTCATCCTTGTCTTGTGTTTCCCAAAGGTCCTTGCTCACAGCCAAATTCCCCTTCCTCTCCACTGTCTCTGGCAACTGTTAATATACAGAATCCTGACATCACTTTTTCCCGCTATCGTGGTCTCCCAGTTCCAACTGCGGTAGATAAGAAGAAGGGCAAAAAGAAGATTTCTAAGGCTGACATTGGTGCTCCTTGTGGATTTAAGTGAGTCCTTCTAGAGCTATGTAGATTCCTCAGTCTCTTTGGTAGGGTTCCAGATTGACAAAGAGCCAGCTGCCCCATTCCCACTGAGTATGGAGACCTAAAAACTCTGCATTTCTCTCTGTTTCGAAGTTTAGATGGCCAACTAAGGGTATCTTTTCTGCCAATCATTTCATTGGCCATGACATCAGTCAAATCCAGCTCTGTGATGAAACAAGGTTGATGGTCTTCACCTAACTGGATGTCTTCTATGATTCCTTTTCAGGCACATCCAGCACATTGGATGGGATCCCAGCAGTGGATTTGATGTACGTAGCCTTGGCAATTAAATTTGAAAGGATATAGTTTTCTGAGGGCTCTTGGGTGTGAGATTAAACTTTTTGAGTTATTGCAGCCCAATTCCATTGTTTTATATGTGAGTTGCCCATTTATCCCACGCATGAGTGGCAGTCATGAAGCACTCTCTCTTAGTTTTTGCATGTACATCCAATTTTAAAGTTTCACTAGATCCAATTGCTGTGCAGCCATGATAGATTGATATGAAAAAGAAGATAAAGTAAAACTGGCTTACAACTTAACAGGAGGAACTGCTCTCCTTAATACTCAGTTCAGTAGGGCAAGTGTGAACCAGAGGTTTCTTTAATACTAAGGAATTTCCCTTGGTCTTAAATAGGCTGTTAAGTAGTCTTTAGTACAGTTTGTGCTCTTCATTTCTTTGGCCTCATTTGGATGCTGGAACAAAAGCTGGAATAATGGAAGAAAGAAGGGAAACAATTCATTCCTCTCTTTCCTCAGCTACCTTCCATGTTGTCTTTCCCCTTCTATGAGCCATTTATTATTTTCCTTGCAGGAGTTATCTTTCATCTGCCCCTTCCCCCCCCGCCCCCCAAAAAAACAACTATCAGGAACTTTGCATAGCAATGTGTGTGTATATATATTGGAATGGTGATATATAGGGTGGGGCGATGTTGCCAACTAAGAGTCAAAGTAAAGATTAAAACCACCATTTTTACTACCATCCATCATATGTATGTATGTATGTATGTATGTATGTATGTTGTGTTATTTATGTGCTAAATATGGCTCAGGCTTTAGAACCATTTGGTTACGAGGGTTTGAGGTAATAATTGGGGCTCCAGTTTGGACTGGGATTTTCTTATCCCCTTCTCTCCATGTAATTCCATGTTAAGAGTTATCATATAATATATGTTTATTATATATTATTTTTGGATCATTTTTACTAGCTTAAAAAGGCCATTGTTAAACTATCATCCCCATGAATATATGCTGACATATTTTTATTTCAGTTGAACGATTTGGACCCTGATTTGAAGACATTCTTCTCTAAGGCGGGAATCAGCGATGCTCAGTTGACTGATGCTAAGACTTCAAAGATTATCTATGATTTCATTGAAGGTCAAGGAGGGTTGGAAGCTGTCAAGGAAGAACTGAGACGACAAGGTGAGTTGCTGGAGCAGAAAAATATATCTGATTCACAGGTGACTTTGGTCCCCTTTTTTATTTTATTTGAACCAATCAGTGGTTCCATACCCTGGCATTTATTAGTTATGCCACCTACTGAAAGATGTGCATATCTGAGTAAATAGTCTGGGTTTGGATGCACTGATTAATAAAAGGAGTAATTATATTAATCTCTATAGTAAAAATAAAAAGGAATCTTAGGATACTTTAGAGAGCAATTTATTTATTTATTCCAATTTATATAGTCACCCATCTCTTAATCTGGCCAGCTCTCATAATTAAAAATAGTCACAGTATGTGAAACAGCACCACATTCTTTATAAATGATATTTTATACGTTTATGTATGTTATTTTAAATTAATATTTATATCTGAATTCACTTTATAAGAGTCAGACCAATAATCCACCTTGCATAGTCAGCTGTGATAGTTAAAGGTAAAATGCTTTTGAGATTGATATTGATATCTACATGGAGATTTCTTAGAACATGCAGATTTCTTAGAACAGTGTGGAAATATTTATATAGAATGGTCACAATCTGTACTTTTTTATATTTCCTTGGCATTTGGAATTTATCATTTTCTTATTTGTCTGGAATAATCTTAAGAAAGCTTATTATGCATTTGATGATGTTTGTACCCAATGTAGGCATGGTAAAACCATTTTGTCTTTATACAGAACATTTGTTGTTTTTTTCTGATTAATGTGTGATTTAACACTCTAGTATCATGAATTTGAATATTCATATTTTTTTTCCAGGTCCAAGTCATCCCCCACCCCCACCCCCACATCGTGCGAGCCCTCATCTCCCAGCTAGTGGGCCAGGGCGAAGTGGTCCTTTACCACTTCTCCCAGGTGCTCCTATGATATCAAATAGGGGAGATGTCCCCTCTCCATCACAATTTTCTAGGCGACCTCCCTGCCCCCCGGGGGGACCACCTCCATCCACTTCTCGTTCTGGATCACATCCTCCTCCACCACCCCCATTAGCGTCAGGCCCACCTCCACCCCCACCCCCTCCACCACCCCCTCCTTCATTTCAGGATTCTGCACCATGCCCCCTTCCTCCTCCTCCTCCTTCTGGAGGGCTTGGACCAGTGGGGACCCAGCCGCCTGCTATCTCTTCAGGGCGTGGTGCACTGCTGGACCAGATACGCCAAGGAATACAGCTTAACAAGGTGAGATGGCTTGTTTTAAATTTTATTCATTTATTACTTTTATTATTATATTAATTTATAGCACAGTTTTCTAGTTATTTTGACTCTCCAGGCAGCTTATAAACAAGGTAAAATTTCAGAATAGAAAACAATAACATAAATGCAATAAAACTAAACCAAAACTAAAATCAGCATTAAAAGTATATCTAAAAGTTGATTGTTGTATATCTTTGGGAAATTAGCAAATCAAAGGAAAAATGGTCTAATCTTCTTCACCTAATATCTAGCATTCTAGATAGAGGGAATATTTATATATATATATATATATAAGGAGCCGAGGTGGCGCAGCAGTTAGAGTGCAGTACTGCAGGCCACTTTACCTGACTGTGTTCAGCAGGTCAGCGGTTCAAATCTCACCGGCTCAAGGTTGACTCAGCCTTCCATCCTTCCGAGGTAGGTAAAATGAGGACCCAGATTGTTGGGGGCAATGTAAAATATATATACATTGCTTACTGGTGTACACCGCTTAGAGAGTGCTTGCACTTAAAGCGGTATATAAGTCTCATAAATAAATAAATAAATAAATATGGAATTGTATTTAATTATGATACTTTCTCTATTGTTTGCAATCTATGTTGATACAAATTTAGCATATTCCCGAGAAAAATAATGAGATTAGCACTTATATCCACTAATGTAATATCAATTTATACTAGTTCAGTTTTCAATAACCACACAAAGAACTGCAAATTCTTAGTAAGGGTTCTAGAGAGCTTCAGTATAGGAAGCTCTATTTAATATCATTATTAAGTCATTGGGAGACATTGGACCAATTACTCCCTCACAGCTCAATTCATCTGAGTGGTTTTTGTGGGGAAAATAGGAGGAATGAATATTACGTTCACTGCCTTGAGCTATTTGTAAACAATAATAAACACAGGACAAAAGTAATAAATAAATACATATATAAATAAACACATAAATATATGTATGTATTTTTCCTGCATTTTAGACACCCGATGTTGTGGATTCTCCACCTTCTATGCAGAGTCCTGAAGGTCTGGTAGGGGCTCTTATGCATGTGATGCAAAAGAGGAGCAAAGTCATCCACTCTTCAGGTGAGTCTTGTATACATCCATATGATATTTTTTTCTTTCAGGCTTATACACTTATATATAATTTCTCAAGTTTCCAAAAGTTCAAAGCTTTGTGATTATTTGGACTGTAAAAACAAAGCAAAGCTCTGAGGAAGATCCAGGGCCATTTTGTGGGAAGTTCAACTTCAAGTCAGGCTGTGTTGCCCTGGTGTTGGATCAAAAGACATAGGGATCAAGACAACTGAAATGAGTGTTGGAGAGGGAAATCTGTATATGCACATCCATATATACTTCTGAGAAGCTGTTGTGCTGACATTCTTGAAATGCTATCCAGCTTTGGGTTCCTGTTCTATTGTATTTTCCTGTTCTACTGTATTCATAGATGAAGGTGAAGACAATGGTGATGAAGATGATGATGATGAATGGGATGACTGAGCCTAGAAATGCACTCTACACGAAGTTTGATCCTTCTTTAAACCTGTTGCCAGAGGCATTTAATCTGATGATGACTCTGCTATAATTCTCCCCTTCCCATCTCTGCAGATACTTCTGGAATCCCAGTAAGGCAGAGGCAGCAAAGGGGTTAATTTTTCCATCCTCCTTTTCAAATTCACTTAGGCCTAAGCACATTCTCCTCCCCCACCTGTGCACCTGGATGCCTTTGACAGTTTTAGAAAGTAAGATTGTAATCCTCTCTCTTTCAGCCCTCCAATTTTGACCATTCATAATCTCCTGCATTTATTTTTCTAATAGTTGTATCATCTTTCAGCCAACCGTTTCCTGAACCTTTCTTTTGCTTATCTAATTGTGTTCCCCCCCCCCAAGTTTTGATGACCAAATGCAGGCATGAGAATGACAAGAATGTAAAAAAGTTCTTTTTATTTTTATTTTGAAATAAAATCATTTTATGTTGTTAACTCATACTGAAACTTTAATTATTTAAATTGCATATCTTTCAAAAGAATGCTTTGGCACTAGAAGGGGAACTGACCTCTATTGTTTACAACAAACATATGCTTATTTATATTTTACGAGCATGATAACATAAACACACACACACACACACATAACACATAAACACATACATACATGACACATATGTACTGGCAATTATAGTATTTTCTTTATATATATATTAATTTTATAGGGTTAGGATTTTTATAAAACAACATTCTTAATACTTAGCAAACAGCATGTTGTCTGGGTTCATGTATTTAAAACATAATGAGTAATAATTTCTATATTATCATAATCAATATGTTACTTAATCACTCAAAGTCTTCTTCTTACTAGTATATATTTAATGTTACATTGTACATATTACGTTCCTTTCTCTGTCACTTATTTTTCTAGCCATTGATAAAAATTATTCTATGTTCTAAAGTACACTGAGTGTTCTTTCTCTTTTATCTTTAATGTCAATTTGTCAATTTCTGCACAATCTAAAATTTTCTTAATTAGTTCTTCTCCCATTGGTAAGTTTTCATTTTTCCAATATTGGGCAAATACTATTCTTACTGCAGTTAATACATGTAAAAAAAATACAGTATACACAGTCTTTCTCATAGTTTCCTCCTATTATGCCTAACAGAAACAATTCTGGTTTAAAATCTATATATTTTTTAGTCATTTCTCTCTAGCCATATATGTATTTTTGACCAAAATCTTTTAGATTTAGGGCATGTCCACCAGATATAATAAGTACCTGGTTTTTCTTTACATTTTCAACACTTGCTCGACATATTTTTAAACATTTTCACTAATCTCACCGGTATTAAATGCCATCTGTAAAACATTTTATATAAGTTTTCTTTACAAGCCACCGCTTTCGTTAATTTAGCGTTTCTTTCCCATAAACTTTGCCAGTTTTCTAATTCTATATTATGTCCAAAGTTCTTTGCCCATATTATCATTACTTCTTTTACTTGTTCCTCTTCCATCTTTAAGCTTAAACAAATATTTATAGAGTTTCTTAATCAATTTTTTATCTGTTTTTAACAGTATCTGGTCAAATTCTGTCTGTTCTTTATAAAATCCCATTGTTTTAGCATCTTTTTCATACCTCATTTGAATTTGCAAGTATGGCCACAATGATAAATCAATACCCTGTTCTTGTAAATATTGTATCTTTCAGTTTCCCTTCATTGTTCAAAATATCTTTATAGGTCACAACTTTCTCATAGTTAATGATACACACACAAATAACACATACATACCTGACACATATGTACTGGAAATTATAGTATTTTCAATGGATTTGATTCTGAGGTATTCTTTTATTCCCAAAAGAGGGAGTGATGTGTCATTTCTCTTCTTAAACCAGCATTCCAAGGTTTTAGTGTTTTCCAGCTACTGGATTCAAATGAGCACAGACAGAAGAGGTTTGCTGTACTACCTGAGGCTATAGAAACTGTTTTCTGAATTGTTCAGAAAAAGGAAATGTACTTTTATAAGAATGTGTTTATTAGACTAAAAATAAAAATTAATTCTAAACTTAATTTGAGTCAACTACTTTTTAAAATATTGGCTGAAATGAAATAATCTAATTTCATGAGATTTCAGTTATCTTGTATATTCTCTTCTGATATAAGATTTTGGCCATTTAAAAATAGTTTAACTGTAGAAGAAATTGAATATTATTAAGGCATTGGGATATTCTGTTGCTGAACCCATGTCTAGCTCCTTACTGTGAATTCAGGTTCACTTTTTGAAATTTTGGCATCACGGAGACTATTTAGACCAGCGGTTCTCAACCTAGGGGTCGCGACCCCATTTGGGATCGATCGACCTCTTTTGTGGGGTCGCCAAACGCGGCGATCCGCCATTTTGTCGCCTCCGGGGGCGCGCTGCGCCTCCGGGGGGGCGGTGCCGCGCACGCACGCCGTGCGTGGGGGCGGTGGCGCGCCTCCGGGGGGCGGCGCCACGCATGCGCGCCGCGCGTGGGGTGGCGCCGCGCCTCTGGGGGGCGGCGCCGCGCATGCATGCCGCGCATGGGGGCGGCGCCGTGCCTCCGGGGGGCGGCGCCGCGCGTGCGCGCCGTGTGCGGGGGCCCGCCCCATGCGCGCCGCGCGCGGGGGGGCACCGCACATGTGCGCATGCGCGTGGGGGCCCCACCCCCATGCGCGCCGTGCCGCGCATGCGCATAACGTTTGTGTGACGGGGGTCGCCGTCACACAAACGTTGAGAACCGCTGATTTAGACAATGTAAACAACCATCACAAGATTCTTTTTTTTCCCATTTCAAATACACCACAATTTAAATCTTTGGAGAGATACCTCACAGTTTTTAAGTTGTAAAGAAACACCTCTTTTCAACTTAATATACTGTAACAAAAATCTTTGGACACTCAGATTTACAATAGGATTCCATTTTTTTTTCTGTCTGTCACACGGTATTAGTCTCAGAGTGCTGAATTCTTCTAGATAGCTGCTGAGAATATAGCAATTTATTCATAATTTTTACAGTTTAGAAGATAATGCAGTTCTAATACTGAATGGTAAATATAACTATCCAATTTTGCAGTGTCTAAAGCAGTGGTTCTCAACCTTTCTAATGCCGCAACCCCATAATACAGTTCCCCATGTTGTGGTGACCCCCAACCACTTATACATCACCGGGTCTCAGGGGCATGGCCAAAAGAAAAGGGGGGAAAAATGGCAGACTGCGTTGTTTGGCGACCCCCGTGAAATGGTCGTTCGACCCCAAATGGGGTCCCGACCCACAGGTTGAGAACCACTGGTCTAAAGTCAGATCCGGGAGTTAAAAAAACACAAGGACTTAGAAATGATAACTCAGAGATCAAAAGGTAACAGAGGAATGGAGCAAGATTGTCCTGACCAATTGAAAATGAGTTTCAGTTCAGTGTTGGTTAAGGCATTTTAAAAATGGATCTTGAGACCAAGCTGGGTGGGACAAATTAAGATTTCATAATTATTTGAAGAGATGGTTGAAGAATGGGGAAATGAGACTGTACTATTTCACGAACTTTTAGTAAAAACATGGATTGTGATGCAAACAGATAATTGTGGTGGTGATTTGGTTATCTGAATCCTTATATATGTATAGGATTCTACCACTACCATCCGCCTCCAAAACTGGTAAAGGAACCAATTGGCTATATTTCTTCTATAAGATTTAAAAAAGAACACAAAATGGGAAGCAGCATTTCTCCAGGGCAGATTTCCCCAGCCTGATGCCCTTTGTATGTATTGAATTGCATTTTTATTAGTCCATTATAATATTTAACTGTGTAATTTGAGGAAACAGTACAAGTTTTATGCTAATAATGTTTGATAGTTTCAAATTGAATAAAACTTCTTTAGACGTGATTTTATTTTGGATTTGAGGGCAAAAGAGGCAATAGTAGTGGTATAAATAGGAAACATCAGATTTAATGAGTTAATGGCTTGAGCAGTACTATTTAGATTTACATTATTAGGTTTAGGTTTATTTAAATACATGCAGCTCATACGAATACACAAGTGTATGGAAATGCAACAGCATGCTATGGTGAGTTAAACAACGGAATATCAAATACCAGTATATTGAAATATAATATTATCGGTAATATAATAAATGTACTATACCAACAGTTAGGATACAAATGTTCCTGATCAAAAATTGCCCAGGAAGTTAGATACACCCTCCCCATTATCTTTGTAATTGTAACAATATTCCATGAAAAAAGATAACCAACTGGTCAAAATCCAACAGATTTGGGTTATAAAATAGAAGATTTAGAGAAGCCCTGTATGAATGTGAAGTAAGGTGTGGATTTACAAGTAGTCCTTGACTTACAACAATTCATTTAGTGACCATTTGAAGTTACAAAGCACTGAAAAAGTCACGACAGTTTTTCACTTATGATTGTTGCAGCATTCCCATGATCACATGATCAAAATTTGGAAGCTTGGCAACTGGTTCATATTTATGACCGTTGCAATGTCCTAGAGTCATGTGATCACCTTTTGCAGTCTTCTGACAATCAAAGTCAATGTCTTGTGGAAAAATAAAGCCTTAAAAAAATAAAGGGCTTTTACGAAATTCCATGGGTGAAAGAGAGATCTTTATTTTTGCGCAAAAAGGTTCAGAAGTGATTTAACAATCAACAAATTTCTGAACAAGGGGGAGGGTCTAAACTAAAGCTTTATAGGTTTCTTTTTCTCAGGAACAAAGGAAGCATAGATGGAATCTTACATTGTATATGGAATCTACTTTGTGTAACATTCAGATAGTTTCTCACACGTTAGGTCCATTTCTCATGGGAATACAATGAAGGCAGTTTTTACTTTTATACAATGTTTCTAAATATGCATTAGGTCATTCACGTACTGTAAATACAGCTTTTGGCTAACACAGCTTTCTTTCAGAGATTATGCAGACACATGATTTTTGCTTTTAGTGGTTTTTCATTATTATTATTATTATTTTACTTTATTCTTCTTTATTTTATGTTATTCTATTTCTTTCCCACTTTACTCCCCCCATTTGGAAGTTTTCCAGCTTAAACTTCCATTATTCTACCTCTGATTCCGGATCTCCTGAAGGTACCATTTTATATTCCCATAAGGCTAACATTGTTTCATGTTTTGCTGTTAATTGGGCTGTACTTTCTGAGATCCTCTGAATCATGGCTATAAGACAGGGGATCAAGCAAGGAATTAAAATACATCCTAGAATTAACAAGACTTGCAGGCCTACAAACCTTCATAGTCATAGCAGCATTGTTAATTCCAGGGTCCATAGCAGTGGTCTCATTGGTTCCAGACCACCATTTACCATTTTCCCATGTCCCTGTGCATAGGAGGTCACCTACTGCTACACAAGATTCTGTTTTGTTTCTTGAGTAACATACGTGTCCTACCAAGTTGGAAGTGAGACCCCAATCACCATCTTTCCCACTTGTATAAGTTAAATTATTATTTTTAGACATTTCTAGTACCTTGGTATAATTTAACTCTTGTGCCTCCCACGGCCACCTTTCTCCCATGTTTGTTCCACCACACAAAAAACAGTTAGACACGCCTAAAGTATGGGCAATGTCTTCTGCTAACTTAACAAAGGTATTGGTTACATGTCTAGATACTTCAGGAATATGTAGGTTTTCCATTTCCTCATAATATGACCAAAATAATGATTTTTGTTCTGGTCCTTTGGTTACAGTTATAATTTTGACTTCTATTTCTGACATTGGGTCATAGCCATTTGTATCTATTCCTATCCCAAACATCCATTTCTTACTTTCCCACCTATTTTGTTCCAGGAACCAACTGCCATTTTTGACTATGAGAATCACCAAATTACAGTTATCCGTTCCACAGGAATTTGCTTTTGTTTCATTCTTTTCAAACAAGATGTGGTCTATCTCTTTTGGGTCTTGGGTATGCCACTTAATACATGACCACCTCTTACATTTGACCGCACATCCATCTGGTGGGCACAAGTACTTATGTTTTGGGATAAAGTTGTGAATATTACCGATCCCTCCGCAACCATATGTTGAAGTCCAATAATTAGTTGCTTTGCAAACATCAAAGGTGACGCTAAAACTGAAGTGTGGATTGGATTTCCATTGGGAGATCCCTAAGAGTGCCTGGTCCTTATAGCTAGTTCTTGTTCTATGTGTTTTGATTTGTAAGGCCCAACGATCAGGATCAGACTTCGGGTTATAACACTGATATTGGACACCTTTTCTACAAACTTTATATGTAGTTCTATTGTATGTACAAGAGTCAGGAGAACTATCTTGGCACCCTTCTGGTTTAACTGTATGGTAAATCAAAGTCTTGGTTATCTGGTTTCCTTGTTTTGTAGTTTTGATACAGTTTTGACAACCTTGGTTTCCCTGTGTTTCTGCTCTTTCTTGGTGTATGCTACTCAATAATTCTTTATTAGAGGGTTTCTGCATTATGACATCTCGTGTAGCCATTGTACTGATTTGTGTAGGAATGTGTGTGCATATTAAATAATTAACAAATATTACGAGCTGTAGAATCCTCATATCTTCCACCGTGCGTAGAGAGACAGCTTCCTGGGGTGTCTCAGCAAGGTTGTTGATCACACCGTGTCTTGGGAACCCGTTGCTGTATTTCTTGTAAATTTCAACACCAAAGGCTTGTCAGTCTTGTCCACCTTGTAGGTCACCGGATCTGCAGGTGCAGCTGCTTTCACTCTACTCCAATGGATCCAAGACTTTCCTTCCAAGGTTTTCACTGCCAAAGGAGAACACATGACAACAGTATACGGTCCTTTCCATCTTGGGCTCAAGGGATCTGATTTCCAGTGCTTTACCCACACTCTATCTCCTGGCTTAACTAGGCAACTGTGCTGACTCAACAGTAGAAGTTTGAGAAACTATTGCATAACCAGAGTATCTACATCCTTTATCCATAAAGCTAGAACCATCAGTAAACCATTGATAGTCTGGATTATGCAAGGGTTGGTCTGTAAGGTCAGGTCTGCAAGAATATTGTAGTTCTATTGTTTGCATGCAGTCATGAACAGGTTTGGTTGAACCAGGAATTGGCATTAGAGTTGCTAGGTTTAAAGTTGAACATTGTTGCAGTGTAACTTGTGGATTTTCTAATAAAAGAGCCTGTATTTTATGCATTCGTTGATTACTTATCCATAAATGTCCTTTATTGTCAATGATTGTCTGCAAGGCATGACTAGTATAAACAGTCACTGGAGCTGAAAAGGTTAACTTGTTTGCCTCCTGCAGTAATAGCATAACTGCTGCTAGAATTTTTAAACATTGGGGCCAGCCTTGTGAAGAAATGTCCAGGTGTTTTGACAGATAAGCGACAGGGCAGTTCCAACTTTCCTGTTTTTGGGTAAGGACCCCTAAAGCTACATTTTGTCTTACATCCACATAAAGTGAAAATGGCTTAGATATATCAGGTAGTCCTAGGGCGGGGGCTGTGGTGAGAGCCTGTTGCAATTGTCTCATTGATTGGGTTTGTTCCTCTTGCCACAAAAGAGGTTCTTTTTCTGGTCCCCTTAAAGCTTGGTACAATGGTTTAGCTGTGAGAACGAAGTTAGGAATCCAAATTCTACAGAAGCCTGTAATTCCCAAAAAGGCTCTAACTTCCTGTTTTGTTTGTGGGATGGGAATCTGTAACACAGCTTGCTTTCGCTGGGGGCCCAAAGTTCTTTGTCCTTGTGAAAGTTCATAGCCTAAATACATTACAGTCTCTTGAACTAATTGTGCTTTCTTTTTGGATGCTCTATAACCACAGTCTTGTAACAATTGGAGCAGTCTGGACGTGTTTTCAAAGCAATCCTCCCTGCTTTGGCCAGTTACTAAGACATCATCAACATATTGAAGGCAACAATCCTCTTGTCTGAATAACTTCAGATAAGCAAGATCTTGGGCTAGGGCTTGACTAAAGCACGTTGGCGAATTTTTAAATATACGGCTACCACAAGGATTTGATTGCTTGCCAATGGATTTATTTAGGACAGATCTGTTAGGTCCATTTCTCATGGGAATACAATGAAGGCAGTTTTTACTTTTATACAATGTTTCTAAATATGCATTGGTCATTCATGTACTGTAAATACAGCTTTTGGCTAACACAGCTTTCTTTCAGAGATTATGCAGACACATGATTTTTGCTTTTAGTGGTTTTTCATTATTATTATTATTATTATTTTACTTTATTCTTCTTTATTTTATGTTATTCTATTTCTTTCCCACTTTAAATGGGTAAGTCAGAATCACTAAACAACTGTTACACTAATTTAACAGTTGCAGTCATTCATTTAACAACTTGGCAAGAAAGATTATAAAATGGGGCAAAATTCACTTGACAACTGTCTCACTTAGCAACAGAAAGTTTGGGCTCAGTTGTGCTCATAAGTCAAAGACTACCTATATAGCGTAAAAGTTTATCTATTCTATACAGAATATTTTGTTTGCTGCTTTCTGCCTACAATACTATTTTGCAATACTAAGTTGCTACCAGACAACTTTTGGTAATTACTAAATATTATCTTTGTTAATAAAATATATCATTTGATATCTGTTTATAATTATCAGGGGAAAATGTACTGATCAGCAATGTGTACCTTTCATTACTTGTGCTGGAACTGAGAAGTACTAAAGAAACAATGGTAACTTTTAAGAATAGATGGATGTTAGAAAATATTTAATGATTGTAAAGGGGAAAAAAAAGTAGACACCCACAACCAACAATGTAACATGTAGTCCCTAACAGTCCCCACTGAAATTCAGCAGCAAAAACAGTGCTTAATTAAATTAAGTGGTGTCTCTAGCTGCAAAATATTCCTTTCTCCAGCCCCAATTGTTGAGTTAGTCTTCTATATGGCAGCTAAATTCAAGGTTTTTCCTTGGCTCTATGGCAAAAAGGGAATAGTCAGAAGCAAGAGTTGGCTTTTTAAAGACCTCCAAAAATTTTCTCATAAACGATTAGGATCGATAACTTGAATGTAAACCCTTCCCCTCCCCATTTCCTTATTACAGCATAAATGCCTAAATGTTTGTTCTATATCTTTTAGATCCTCTCGTACTCCAGTGCAACTTTCTCAGGAGACAAAAGAAACTGTCAATGAAGTCATTATTTTTCGTACCCTATTTCTATTTCATATCTCCTCCTAAGTACGAGCAAGAAAAGGAAAAAGATTTAGAGACCAAAGTTTTTTTTAAAAAGCCCAAGCTACCACACGCTCCGGCTTTGAACAGCACTGGGAGGCGGTGCCAAGTTTTGTTTTCAGTTCGCGCCGAACTGCAACCAGAGCCTACTGCCCGGCGGGAGGAAACGAAGCGAGTCAGGAAAGAAACCAGTTGAAGGCGTGGGGTGGGGCCTAAGCGGACCCCCGCGCTCCCCATTGGCCCGAAAGCCCGTTGCTCAAAAGGCGAAACTTTGGAGGCTGCCCTGGATCCGCCCCGAGCTCCCTTTCTGTGAGATGAAAACTTTCTGGCAGCCTCGGTGGGTGGAGGGAAATAAAAAAAAATGCTCAAGATGGCGGAAAATTTAAAAGGTGAGCGAAACTAGCAAGAGCGCGCCGGGCGCTGGCGGCGCGAGGCGGCAAAGAACTGGGTCGAACGGGAAGCGGGAGTTGCCTCGAGGGAAGCAGCCCGTTGCCGCCTCCGCCGCGTTCTGAGGGGCGCGTGGCTGAGGCGGCTTTCGGCAACGACCGTTATGGGGGAGGGGAGGAGGAAGAGGAAGAAGAGCGCGCGAGCCGGCGTACGTGGCGCGGTCACCGGTTGCCTCGCGCCGCCTCTCGAGTAAGGTAAAGATCGCGCGGTGAGCTGAGAAAAAGAGAAAAGGATTGCGAGAGAGAAGCGTAGACTCCCACTGATTCGCGCCGCGAAAGCGACTCCTTCCACGTTGACTTTTTACAGTGGATTTCTCTGTTGGATCCCCGGCAATATTGCCTTACTTCGCTTTCAAAAAAAGGCTCCTTTTGCCTGGTTTGACTCCTTCGTTTACCCGCCTCACCTTTTGTAGCGCCCATGCATACTTTCATCATGTGCTTCCCGTTCCTAGTACAACTTTGTGCCGCACAGTGCTCCCTTCCTGTCGAAGAGCGCCTCGCTTTGCTGAAAGGAAACCTTGTTCTGGAATAAGTTTTCCTCACAGAAGGAAGTTATTGAAGGCAATAATAATTTCAGACTTCTAGTCTCTCAGACTTAATGCTCTTTCCCTAAACCTAAAGCATACTTAGGCTGCTTTTCAGCTGAAAAGACTTCCAGCGTGACTTTCAGACCCATAATGAATAGATAGACATGCCATCGAAAAATTCAATTTTTGTATGAAACTGAGGCTTTAGAAATCAATACACTAGTTTATGCAGTGCTGCATAAACAGGTCTACTTTAGATTAAACTTGTGGGTATCCTGATCGAAGATCCACAAATCTTCTGTGGAGAACTGAAACCACATGGAGATGTTAAGTAATTTATGATAGTTATTTTATTTTTCTTAGTTACACTATTCAATTTATATTCATGCATTTTAGTAGAAACAACAAATGTACTATGCACTTCTTGATAAACTTCCGTTCAGTTTATAATTTTAGTATGGCAATTCTGAGAATGCCATCTTACAGTATCTAGGAAATGTTTTGTTTTTTTTAAATCACCCTCATGTTTTGGAACTCCCTCTCTATGGAGACTTAGTCTATCTTTTCGCTTATGGGTTTCAGAACAGCACTTTGAGACTTGGCTTTTCGATCTTGCACAGGATGAAGACATGCTTTGACTGCTGGAATGAATTGGCTGATACATAACTTAGTCTTTTTTTAAAAAAAATCTTTTATGATGCTGTTGAGCTTTTTAAAATTATTTTGTTCAGTAAATTTATTATCAAAATGTTTTTCTTTAGGATGTTTCTGATAACTGCTCAAGTCTTGGAGAATGAATAGCACATATTTAAAATAAATGTAAATGTAACATACAGTGTATGTATTTGTGTGTATATACATAAACATTCTCTACACACAAACACACACTGCATGCTAAAGTATTTGCTGTGTTAAATGTGAATTGAATTCTATTGATGAGGCATCTCTTAATACAGTGGTGGCGAACCTATGGCACGGATGCCAGAGGCGGCACTCAGAGCCTTCTCTGGGCACACGCGCCATCACCTGAGTCCTAGGCCTTCAGCTGGGTTTTATAAAACCGTTTCGCTTTAGGCCTCCGCCGCCATGTACAAAAAAAAAAAAGGTTCAATCAATCAGTCAATTTCAACTTCTCACAGAAAAAAAAAGATCTTGCAAAGTTGGAATTGATTGATTGCACTTTTTAGTCCCACCCAGTCTGCCATTACCACTGTAGCCACGCCCACCCAATGGGCCATGCGCACCCGGCACCCGACGATGCATAAGTGGGTTTTGGGTAGCAGTTTGGGCACTCAGTCTCTAAAAGGTTCGCCATCACTGTCTTAATACATGTAGATATGACCCTCATCTTGCTTACATTTTCACATATGTAGATTCCTGCTGCTGGTACAAGATTGTTCTTTAAAATATAGTTGTCACTACCAAGCTTAGATATCTTGCATTTTATAGCTTGTAGATGACAATGTGCTACAGGTGATTATAATCAGATCTTACCTTTATGTATCTGAAGTTGGTGCTAGCCCTTCATCTAGTGATATTAGCTTTGTAAAAATAATTAGGATTCTGTAAGTGAACAAAGTATTTGAATAAAGCAGCTTGATGGTTTTCTAAATTTCTTAAATCTTGATAAATGTAGGACTTGGTTGTTTTAATTCTAGAATGCTGAATTTGAACTAAAGTGCTGGAAAGAAAAATTTATATAATTTTATTTGACAGTCTTTCTAGGATATTAGCCCATTTTGGAAATTACAGTGGGTTGTAAAAACAGTTATGTTATGTACAATACAAAGAATAATTATCTGAAAGAGGTTCCCTAAAAAGATATACTTTTATTTTAGGTTCTCTCTTTATAAAATGAGAAATATTTTTTTCTAGTTTTTAAATATGTTAGGCTCTGTATAAAAATGACTTGAATATCTAAAGTTCAGTTATTATTCACCAGGGGAATGTCTGGATTATAAAGAGATGATTCTGAGAATGACAGCTGTGAAAAAGTGTGTATAGTCAGTTTGGTCTAGTTAGTAGTTAAGGCATCAGACTAGAAACCAAGAGACTGAATTCTAGTCTCACTTTAGGAGCGAAAGCTGATTGAGTAACTTTGGGCCAATCACTGTTTCTCAACCCAACTTGCTTCGCAGCTTTGTGAGGAAGGAGTATTGTGTATGTTCATCGCCTTGAGTTATTTATAAAAATAATGAAGGATATAAATAAATAAAAATAATACAACTTTTGCTGTTAGTTCAAATGTGAATAATCAAATGTAGCAATTTGCAAACGTAAACCTAGCAAGATTTACTTTCTTTAATAATATTTAAGATTTAGAAATTGAACAATACAAAATCTAGGTGTATTTAAATTCTTAGATTCAAATTATTTAATTCTTAGATTTGAATACAGCTCATAATTGCTTTTATGTCAAAATCTACTATCATTTGGGAAGTCATTTTGTTGTTACCCTGAGCAGCTAATTTGCTGCATATCATCATTACATGAATGAATTTACCAATAAATCAGATGTTTCTTATGGCCATTTCTATTTTAAAAACTGTAGTGTGGTGAATGATTCTTGTCATGTGGCTGTTTTGAAATATTTTTTGTTCTATTCTCTATCTCTCTGTAATATGTGTTAGACTAAATATAAAGAAGGAATCTTTCCTGTAATTATTTTGGTTAGTATGTTTTGCAAGGCTGTTCAGATAACCTCTTAATATTTTTTGAAAGTAAACTACATTTTAACAATGAATATCTACTCTTATCTTCCATAGATTGTACTGTTTGCTGCAAGTCAACTTGGTCCAATCTCCAGGATATTTGTAGATTGGAGAAGCTGTGTTGCTCTTCCTTGGGCATTACCAAAAAAAACCTCAGTGATTTTGAAGTAGAATATCTATGTGATTATAAGAAAATCCGGGTGAGTTTCTTGGATTTTCCCATAACTTCAATCCATGACTTTTATATGATCTAGTCTTCTGTAGGTCTCTGTTGATAAGAGTATGTGTATTGACATTTTCATAATTTATACTTTCCTTCTTCCCGTTCTCCTTTTAACCAGTGTTCTTTTCCTTAAGAAATTGGGAGTGATAGGATGGGATGATGGAAATGCTATGTAGTATACCTGGATTGGATTTCTGTTTTAATGATGAAATCGTAGGAAATGTCATTTTCTGGACTTTTTTTCTGGGAAGAAAATTATAATATTATAGACTTACAGTTTGCTCTGTTATTTTTTCAGGATGAGGAATTCTATTTGGTGAAGTGGCGGGGCTATCCTGATTCAGATAATACCTGGGAGCCCCGAAAGAATTTGCGATGTATCAGCATTCTCAAGCAATTCCACAGAGACCTAGAACAGGCATTGATCCGGCGTGGTAGCAAGCTCAAAAAGAATATGCGCTTACTTGATCAAGGAATTTCCAATTATTTGGTTCAGAAGGCCAAACAGAGGCGAGCTTTGCAGCATTGGGAATATGAGCTCAATGCCAAACGCAACCACAAGGGACGAATTGTGGTAGAAAACGAGGTAGACTTGGATGGGCCTCCCCGGGACTTTGTCTACATCAATGAGTATAAAGTTGGGGAGGGTATCACTCTCAACCAGGTGGCTGTAGGCTGTGAATGTTCAGACTGTCTGTCAGAAGCAGCAGGAGGATGCTGTCCTGGTACCTCACACCATAAATTTGCCTATAATGAGTTGGGCCAAGTGAAGATCAAGGCTGGCATGCCCATCTATGAGTGCAATTCTCGCTGCAACTGTGGTATTGATTGCCCAAACCGTGTAGTACAGAGGGGCATTCGTTATGACCTTTGCATTTTCCGGACAGATAATGGACGTGGCTGGGGTGTACGTACATTGGAGAAGATCCGCAAGCACAGCTTTGTCATGGAATATGTTGGAGAGGTAAGACTAAGCCAATATGATGCATAAATTGTGTTATGATTCTGAATCCAGATGAAATCTGCTCCAAATCTTACCAAGGAAAAATAGGTAATAGTTGCATAATTACAATACTTTATTCAGAGCAGATTGAATTCATACTGTGTTAAACCATGGTTTAACAAGTTATAGTCTCATATAAGAATAATTTTTAATTTCAATTTCAAATGCTTCTGGGGAAAGATGTTTGATCTCCTTGTAATTTATATGGTTTAAATAACTAGAAAGAAAAGGAAAGTTAATACATAGATCTTGTGTTTAATACTTTATTACCCAGACATTGGTTTGGTATATCTACCAGTAAAGTTTCTCACTAAAGTCTTAGTTCTCTTTCCCATTTTGTGTCATGTCATTGTTGTCTATCTGAAAACGATTACAACTGTTTAAATCAAGAGATCCTTTTTCTATTGTCAAGTCTATAACATTTAAGTTTCCTTTGTCCATTAGATTGCTAGTTATGTGCATTTTGTATTTTTTATTAGTATAAACTGTTGTAAAATAGTACAAGGATCATGTCATTAAAAGGCATTTTTTTAAAAATAGGTAAGCTATTACCAACAAATAAAGCTATACATACTTGAATATTAACTAATTATTTCATGGCAAAGATACTGGAGTGGTTTGCCATTTCCTTCTCCAGTGGATCACATTTTGTCAGAACTCTCTGCTATAACCTGTCCGTCTTGGGTGGCCCTGCACGGCATAGCTTATAGCTTCATTGAGTTACACAAGCCCCTTCGCCACGACAAGGCAATAATCCATAAAGGGGAGCACTTCAGTAGTAGTTAGATATTTTGGAGCCTCCTGCTGGATTTGTGGCATAGAGGAGCTTGAATGGATGAAACTAGCACAACAGGCCTGTCTAACATATTCATTACATTTGAACTGTAACAGTTTGATGATCAAAATAAAACATTTATATCCTATGGAAATTTGGGAGTATTTTCAAGTGTTTGCATTAATCAAAGCGATAACTGAACATAGAACACATTTATAATGTGTTAGGATATATTCAGCACAGCAAAACAACTGAAGGAAAAAAAATAGAAATCCAAAAATGCAGAAGAATGGTAAGAATCATAAGCAAAAGTAGACTTTTTCTATGATCTTTATTTCTTCCACATCATTAACAGATAATCACATCAGAAGAAGCTGAACGACGGGGTCAGATTTATGACCGACAGGGTGCCACTTATCTGTTTGACCTGGACTACGTAGAAGATGTATACACAGTAGATGCTGCCTATTATGGCAACATTTCACATTTTGTTAATCACAGTGTAAGTGCAATAAATAATAATAAGGGAGTCTTGTACTGAATAATATTTGTTTCATTTTTCACTCAACCTTGCATTCTGTGTTTCCAGTGCAACCCCAATCTACAGGTATACAATGTTTTTATTGAAAATTTGGATGAACGACTGCCACGCATTGCTTTTTTTGCTACTCGATCTATCAGAACTGGTGAAGAACTCACATTTGACTATAATATGCAAGGTAAGAAAGGGAAACTTTGAGATAACTTGTGATTTGCTATAGTGGACTTGGGAGATAAGATTTAGGAATGAAGTTCTTATTTTTAACTATTCTAAATTCTGGTTGGACTTATTCTTTGCTCTAAAACAATGATTCTCAACCCGTGGTCCATAGATCCCCGGAGGTCTGATATTGTCATAGGAGATCTGTGAAGGCTTGAAGAAATGTTATAATTTAAATCTTGAGTTAAATTTTGGGGGTCTGTGGTCAGGTCTGTGGCCACAGAAAGTATTTAAAGGAGATCCATGGTAAAGAAAAGACTGAGAACTATTGCTCTAAAATATTATTTCTATATTATGTGCAAATTGATTCTGGTTTTGTCTCTTAAAATAATATGTTAAGAGTTAAAGGAACATAACTATTTTTGAACTTTAGTCAATGAGCAAATAAGCTTTGTTATCAAATGTAGAGACATCTGTTATGAAATTTGATGCTAGATAAATGTCTTCCACAGTGGATCCAGTAAATGCAGAAAGCACAAGGATGGACTCTAATTTTGGCCTTGTGGGAAGTCTGGCTGGCTCACCGAAGAAGCGGATGCGAATTGAGTGTAAATGTGGCACAGAGTCTTGTCGAAAATATCTTTTCTAGTTCTTTGCTAGTTAATTTTTCTTGGAAGATGTCTTGTGAAGCCTGGATTGGAAGCCCAAGCTGGCTGTTGAAAGATTGCAGACAGAGGCTAAGAGTCAGGAACTTACCTGCTTGAAGAGTAAATGATAAAGCCTAGAACTGCAAGAGGGCAGTAATCCACATTTCTTGGGCTCTATGGCACTGACTTGGCTGCTTCTGATTCTTATGGAAACATGGGTGTGGGACAGTCTCTTCAGCAGGTGGACAGATTGCTTGACTTTATCTTGCTGCTGAGATGCTTGCTGGAAAAACTACAGCATAGAACAGAACTCCTTTCATAAGTCTGTGCTTATCTTATCTGAACCCTCAACTACAGCTTACTGTTTAAAGCCTTAAATGCGAAGACAAGGAACTGGCTAATTTTTCAGGTTTTATTCTGAAGGACAAAAATATTAATTTTCTGTAAGAAGCACTTCCTAACCACCTTACTGGTAGGTGGGAAATCAAAGCCGTTTTCTTCTTCCTGTGCACAGATTTTGTATTACCTCAGTGTGCCATATGACTGCTGTCCATTTTTACATAATTGCTACTTGAAGTCGCACTTAGAAACCATCATGGAGTTAAGCTCTATGCAACCTGAAAAAGCAACAATGTCATCTTTTTAATTAATGAATTTGTTTTTAAAGAAAATGTTTATAATTTTTTAATGGGTTGGGGCAAAAACTAGCTTCTGGAGATAGTTGTATTTTTGAAGATGTTAAGAAGTTCTTGAAGTATGACTGCTGAACTGAATTAGTTGTCTGGATTCTTTATTCTGTGTTTTATAACTTACTGTTCCTTTTAAAAAAATTTTTTTCACTACAGTAATGTAAAGAAAATAGAGTTTAGAAACAGCTTTAGTCTAACAGAAATAGGAGAAACATATAATCAGAGTTGCCAAATCAAATCACTTGCTTTTGGACTTCAGTTTTTATAAATACAAAAAGTGATATTATAGAACAGGAACATTTATGTTTGGCACAAGAAAGTGAGGCTTTAATTTCTTTGGTTTTTATACATTAGAATAATATAATTGGAAGTGAACATTTAGACCATTGAGTCCAAGCCCCTGCTCAGTCCCAAATCAAAATGAAAGCATCCCTGACAAATATCTATCCAATCTTTGCTTGCGTATATCCAGCGGTAATGTTTTTGTTTTGAAGCACGATGAGCAATAAAATTTTTGCTGCTTGATCCTGTTAGGAAGAAAATAGTAAACAAATAAAATGGGGTGCTTAAAACTGCTCAAGGTGTATTCCCCTATAGAAGGGAAAATAAGGATACTAGATCTCAGTGTTCTTTTGAACATTTGCATTAAATATAAAAAGGTATACAAAGAAAAACATTTCAGGGATATTATGTACCTTTTTTCAAATGAGAGCCTGGACTTAGGTGGCTCACCAACTTCATTCAAAAAGAGTAGCAAAATGAGAGTACATTTTGATAGGTTTTTTAAAAAATATTAAATATTTGGGTATAATTTATTATCTGTATCGGAATACAGTCATTTTAGTAGGTACTGTAGTCACATTTTCCTTATTGGGGACCATACTTTTTACTTTAAAAAAAATACCTCTGGGGATGATAGTGATGCAGAATTTTCAGCAGAGAAATTAAGGCTGAATTTTTGCACTTTTGTGGGAACTGTTTCAAATAGATGCATTATGCCTACAAGAAGTTCAATATGTTTTATAGCTTTAATTCATTAAAAGGAGAAATGCTGAGAAAAATGATTTTTGTATTGCTGAAATTCAACAGTTTTAGAGCTTGGAGACTGTAAGAGTTAAGTCGGGGCAGGCATACGCTTGCCTTGATAAAAGCAGCATGTACATATGCATAATCATTAACACACTTTGGTATTATATCCAAGTTCACAGAAAATAATCCTTTTCAAAAATGATTTGACCATATTAAAAATGTACTGATTTCTATTATCTTCAAACTATACATTAACAGTTGATGCAGAAAAAGATAATTAGGGAATTGGGCACCTCTATTAAAGATAAGTTAAAGTGAAATATATAGAGGGTTTTAAATCTGCAAAAAAAAAAAAAAAAACCAACGCAAAACTAATGCTCTGCAAACAGAAATGTTCTCATACTTGAAATAGCTATTTGACGCTATTCTGATCATTCTGCAAATGTTCCAGTTTTGAAACTTCCAGGTTATTGGAACATCACCAAAGACTTCTGGTAAGGTTAGGATTACAGTACTTGTTTAAAATCTGTAATCAGAATTAATAACGTTCTGTATGGAATAAAATAACTTTAGAGATAGCACCATCTCAGAACTAAACCCTGAGAGGCAGGATATTTAGGGCAGGTGACTGATTTATTAATTCTCTTTTCTAGAGTTGTACAGTATACCGAAATACAAATTAATCAAAGAGCCTGGTTTTGTTAGGCCATGGCAACATTAACCAAGGCTAAACATAACCCACCTTAGCATGTTGTGTGAATGCAATCATTAGATTCTGAACACATTGTGTTGTAGAATTTGCGTCCACATGATGTTTGAGAGCTACCATCTATACTGCTTTGAAAAGAAGTTGTGCTATTGTGGAAGATAAATCATCTCTGGCGTACCAACGTATGCTATCAGCAGACCTTGTGACATTGTTCTTCTGAGTACATCCTTTCCAGTAACTAAGGAGACCACTGATTTCTTCTTGTGTTTAAATTTTCCTGGTACATATTATGTACATAGAATGTCATAACAGTCTGGTCCATTAAGACAGACAAAACAAAGCCTATACAGAGTGTCATGGGGTGAACTCCTTACTTCATGAAGCAATATACCATTGATGACACCCCACCCCCCCATCCCCTGGTAAAGATAACCAGCTTTTAAGTAAAAGCAGTTTAAATAGTCAACTGCAGTTATAGTTTATTAGAAAATACAGTTGTGTTACCTGTTAGAAAAACATACCTTTACCCTAAACATACTTACAGTTTGTTTGAAAGTCTCATGCTACTTTACATTCTGTTAACTCTGTATTTTTTTCAGCCTAACATACTTCTCCTTTTAGAGTTAAACTGATTTATATATTTCAGGCACCATTACCATATAATCTCTTAATCCTGTCAACTGTACTCAAAAATCTGTCAACTCTGCCTAACGCCTTGCAATTTCCTTGCTACAAAGATGTGACTGGCTTGCATGTCCATAGATACGATCCCCTTAGCTCAGTTCATGCTTCTTGATAAGATTACCTAATTGTACTACTGTTACCTCTCAATCTATTCCTTTCTGCCAGGTACCTGCCTGAAAAACCTATGATTAAATACCACCTGCTATTTTTTCCACTGACAGTTAATTTACAGTTTCTTCTTATGCAAAGGAGAGAACAAAGCCAAAGAAAAATTATAACAACCACAATACAGAAAGTTTAATACAACAACCCTCCCACTTACACCCGTTTCATGCATGCTGTGAAAGATGTAACAAAAAATGCTTTTTGTAATTTAAGTAGATCCATTTCAGAACTTCATTTCTAAGAAAATTTGTTTCTGCGGTATCAGGAATATGCTAATTATTTTGGTAGATTCTAGACAGCTTATTAGTAACATGGAATTAAATGTGAAATTAAATACTCTGTTCATATCTGTGGCTTTCATACACAAAGGTTACATTAGGAAAATACTAAGTCAACTTGCTCTTGAGAAACATGCTAAAGCAAATATCCTACTACATAAATTCTATATTGAAAGGCAGTCTACGCACAAATTTAAAGCTGCAGAAGTCCACAAATTCAATAACGGGTTGATCCTTCTTAATGGAGGCAGGTGTTTTTCTTCATCTTTAATAGCTTTTGTGTTACATAGTAATGACTGTGGTACTTTAACCCATGCTGTGTAAATATATTTCCAGGAGGGAAAGGAGCTCTCTTCATATAGTAAAGCAGTTTCGTGCTATCTAGGAAAACATGGGACCGAAACTAAGTTAGCTTTCACATTCTCGAATTAGAAAAGAATTGTTGAAGTCCTAAACTTTATTATGCCAATTCATAAGCAGTTCCTGTAGCATAATTGGCTACATTCTCTTTTAGCAAAAGAACAGTAATCTGGATAGTGCGATCCATTAAGCCACATCTCACAGGGTAAGTGGAATCCTTTGTATGCTGTACAAAATCTCACCAACTGAAAAGGACAAAAGCAGTGGTCTCACTGTATTATGGAAGTATGTTCAGGATGTTCCAGGATGAAGAAGCTATAAACCAACAATAGGAAGAAATACTGGATCTTTTAATCCTCTTTCAGGATCCCGGTCGTCCTCATAGCTGTGTCTCATATGCATTATTCCTTTCTCATCACAGGAAAATATGCTACTTCTGTTCTCTTTTCCAGACAATAACCATCCCTTTGGCATCACTGGAGGCTAAGAGACTCTCATCACAGTTAAAGCTGACATCCAAGACTGCAGCGCTATGTCCTTGAAGTTTGTTAACGATAGCCTTGGTGGCACGTTCCACATCAAAGAAATATACACACATATCTTCACTTCCTGTCACTGAAAAGCACAAAAATAAATTATTAGAATAAAACCTTCATGAACTACAGGCCCTTAATAAAGGAGGGGGTCTTCAATTCCTTTAAACTCTGTATTACTTAAAGAGGAAATCGTTAAGAAATGGAAACATTAAAAGCACAGAGGAAAGATCTGGCTCTGCTACGTTCTTTTTCCAATGGCAGAATGGCCACACAGGCCTCGTACCAATGCAAGCGCCTTGACGAAAAGACATGAGGGGGCAGAAAATGCTGTGGACAGGATGTGAGCTCTGTTGTATTTGGAAACTTCTCTTAAGCTGCAATGTTCCTTCATTATCCACTACCCTGTTAAGAAAAGTAAAAGGAATGGTATAAACACATATATACATATAACAGGCATGTATTACCCTTTACATGGGATTTATTAATATTCCGCATATACAAATAAAGCACACGTCTTTTGGTGCAATAGGATCATACCTATATAACAACAGCTTGTTAATACATGCATTGATGAGGAGAGAGGGATCGCGTGCTTCTCTGCTGATCCAGGAACGGGCTGAGATACTGGTGATAGAACTTCCCTCATTAACTATGAGGCGCTTGGCTTTGGTCAGTTTTCCTGCAAAAATGACATGAAGCAGAAACTCTCCGATCCAAACTGGGCTGCAGCCAATCTCTGTAAGATCCTCTTGGAAACTCACCTGTGGCCATGTCAAAGAGGAAGGAGAATATGCTGCCTTTGTCATCTCCTGCCCAGAGGATGCGCCCAGGAGAATCAAACGAAAGAGAGAGAACCCGGCCGGTTAGCTTGCTTGAGCCACCCTTCACTTTTTTCCCCGTCGAGATGTTCATCACATGAAGGTTGTGTTTTCCATTTCCCACCTGGTGGGTAGATAAAGAAACCATTTTTGTAACTTGCAGTAAGCAAAAGATGAGGAACTAGCAACGTATACAAGTCGTCCTAACAACTGACTGCTTAGCAAGTGTTTGAAGTTCCAAAGGACCTACCTGGGAGGTACTTATGACCTGGATTTGAAGTTCCATGATCAGGTTTCCCCCCACCCCCACCCCACGCTTGCGTGACTGAACTTTGGGTACTCTGCAACCAGGCTGCCTTTATGACCATTTGCAGCATCTGCAGTCATGTGATCACATTTTACGATGTTCTCCCCCCCCTCCAAATCAGCATTCACTTCATTTTCATTCACAATGATAGGGAACCACTAGTTCACTTAATGACTGCGGCATTTGCTTAACAACTGTGATTCACTTAATGATCACGGTGATTCATGCCACAAAAGAAGGTTGTAAAATCAGGTTGGTCATCTGATTACAACTCTCATGAGTTAGGATTGTGATGGGCAGGCTCCCTGTAAACCGAATTAGAAGGGTAGTTTTCTTATAAACATTCCACCCCTGTCTTCATGAGAGAGAGATTTAGTTTGGATAATTTAATGTTTAACTTCTTATAACTAGACCCCTTTGCTCTTCTGCCCCCTCCTTCACATTAGAGAAGAATAAATATATCAATGCTTTTAAATCGTTCAGTGCATTCCTTACTTTCATCATAGGAATAAAGTTGAGTAATAAACTCCAGCCAAATGTAAGCTGGATGACAAAGGCCCAATATCTCACAAAATTTGCTCAGGAGAGTAAAGAGCAGCATATCCCTGTTACTTGACTCACCACTGTGAGATTATTATTCATAGGTTGAAAAGTACAGCAAAGTAGTTCAGAAGCATCTGGATCTGGGATTTCCCGGATACACTTGCCATCCTCTGTAGCCCAAATGCGCATTGTGGCATCAAGTGAAGTGGAAACAATAATGTCATTGGAGAGAGACCAAGCAAAGTCCGAGACACCACGGCTGTGTCCTTTCAGCACTCGAAGCACCACAGGGGGAGTGGGTACTAACTGACACACTGAAATGGTGCCATCTAGAGAGCAGCACGCTAGTAGGTGTTTGTCGTCATTGGCAAACTGAACTTTAGGCACTGAGGAAAAGGAGAAGAGGAAAAAAAAATCATTAGATTAATATTGGACTATCCTGAATCATAATAACCTCTTCTTTGGATAAGGGACTTGATCAGTACTTAGTATCCATCTTCCTTTTTTTTTTTGCAAATAGTAATATACATGCCCTTTATTGTATTGACAGACAGAAGGAAGGAAGAAGCTTAGCAGTGCCTTTATGTGGTTGACTGCGATATTCTTCCTCTACTCACCAGCTTCATCCACGTGTTGGTCAAAGATATGATACATGCCAGCAAAGGCATAGTTTTCACTCAGTGTAGTATCCCCAGCCATAGCACGACTAGCTTCTGCCACCGAAGTGGGGACAACATTACCTGGGGACCTAAGGAAGAGAATAATATCAATTGACAGATCACGACCTTAATTTTCAACAGAAATGGGGCAGAGACAAGACAAAACTAAAGAACCTTTATTCTTTGATTAAATGGACTGGAGTCACAACATTGGCTATCACCAGCCTTTTCTGATTAAAAGTTGAAAAAAAAAAAAAAGTAACACGCAGCAAGTGAGCAGACTGAGAGGAACACGGGCCCT